GAGGGGCAGAGATGGGTCAAGGGAGGGGAATGTGGAAATCTAGAGAAGGTTTGACGAGGAGCCGGTGCGGGGGCACCAACTTCACATGCTTCTTAGAAGGGACTGGACAGAGGTGTCAGCTGGGAGAACGGAGGAGGGAAGTGGAGACAGAGGGTCTAAACACTCCTCTAAGGCATTTGTGTAAGGAGACGAGAGGTGACATGAACTCAAGAGAAGCTTTTTGTATTGTCTTTGTTTTTTTAAAAACTACGAGGCCTATTAGAACAGCGGTCACCAACCTTTCGGACCTCCACAGACCACCGGACGGCGACCGCTGTATGAGAACATGCTTTGTATGCTGCTGAGGAAAAGCCAGGAGGAAGGAAACTTGGCAAGGCAGGAAATAGAGGGAAGATGATGGAGCAAAATCCTTGACTAGGCCAGGATCCAGTGACAAGCCAGGCAATGGCCTTAGCCAGGGACCTGGAGAGTTCCTGCATCTTAACAGGCATTGTCCTGAGAACCTGGTGCAGGGTGGGCAGATGTGGTGGGAGGGAGCATGAGGGAGTTCCCCCCTTCCGGGAAGAAGGTGGGGGAGTGGCGAGGGAGGGGATATAGGCCCCTGCACTGCCCTCTGGAGCTCCAGAACCTGGGGGGTTTGGAGGGACTGGATCTTGAAGTTGGAAGGGGGTGTTGGCTGCTTGCCAGCTGTGTGACTTGGGTGTAAAGACTGAGGGGTGGTGGTAGCACTGACACCACATGTTGTAAAGATGAGATGGGGGTGTGGTAAAGTCCTCCTCTCTCCCTTCAGTGGAGTGACCCTGGCCTGGGTGGAGGTGGAAAGCTGTGCGAATTAAGGCGGCAGAGGTGAAGAAGGGCCTTGAAGTATGTGCCCAGGAGTCATGGGAGGCGGCAGCTGGAGGAGGAGAGCACTGGCCCTGCCGTCCCGGGGTGCAGGGCGCAGTCAGAGCAGGTGAGGCGTGGCACAGCCAGTGCCAGGCTGGTGAGACGCTGTTGCATATTGAGGTGCCGCTGAGGGTTTGTGCCAGCCCAGCTGGGAAGCAGAAGGGGCAGGTGAGCCACCCTGCTCCAGGCGGCTGTTTCTGAGAAGGTGGAGGATTTCGGGGGGGAGGGTGCCTTGTCAGTTGCCTACATTTTGCTTTCTAGTACCCTTTGATTGGTTTGAATCAATAAGGGGTTTGAATGGTTCAACAACTATTTCTCAAGCATGTATCAGACCCTTTGCTGGATAGAGAGTAAGACCAATGCTGTTTGTTCCTCAAAAGAATTGAGGTCAGGCCTGTGAGGGCTGGTGCTGCAATACCAGGAGCTATGCCCAGGGCCAGACAGCAATGGCAGCTGCGGGCCAGTGTTTGCAGAGCTGGTACTTGAATGATTTTAGGTAATACATGAACTTTTATCAAAATGTTATTTTGATGTATATTAGGAAGAATGTAACCAGCCCATCAAACATGATTTCACAGATACTGCTTAGGAGAGGAGGAGGTACAGTTAAGCAGAAGTTAGTCTGCGTATGTAATGGTATTATATTTGGTGTGATGATAGGGAAAGGTGCTCCTCAAAGGGGAGCACAGGGCCTTAGGAACCACTTCTAGGGTCACAGGGCCAGACACACTGCAGGGAGGCACTGGGCTGCCAGCATGTCAGGTGGGCAGCCTAGACAGAGTGATTCATGAGAGGCTTTAATCCTTTGGAGGTGTTTCTGGAAGATCCGTTTGCTGCTCGGTGGAGAATCTTCCTGATAACGGATGCTGGGACTGGTGTAGGCTAGTTTAGCAGTTTAGGAACCTGTGCAGCATTGAGGGGTGGGGCCTTGGCCTCTGCTGAGGAGGATGGGTTGAGAGGAGGTAAACTAGGGATGGCTGGGCTGCTGGGCTATAGGGCTTCCAGCAGACCAGGTGAAGCAGCTGAGGACAGATGGGGATCTGGAGCTCAAGCCTGTCTTGACAAACTGATGGCAACAAGAGCCACGAGAATGTCCCAAAGTGTCATGGATCCTGAGAATCGGGGTTGGGGGTGAGTGGAGGGAGGCCAAATCTTTCTGGGTCCAACCCCATAGGAGTTCCCCAAGATTCATTCTCTTGAGCTTTGGAGTCAGTGATGAACAAAATCAAGATCCCTCTTCCTGTGACACTTGTGAGAGAAACAGATGGGCCTGTAAATGTAAAGCAAATTCAAAGCTATGAAGAGAGGGCATGGTAGGAGTTTCTTGAAGGTCTTTTGGATAAGGTGATTTGTAAAGAGACACCTGAAGATCCTAAAGCACAGGTGTACCTCTGGGGAGTGTCCAGGCAGTGCGAAGGGTGAGTGACAAAGAATGGGGAGGGCAGAAGCTAGAGGGCAAACCGTCACTTAAGACTTTGGCTTTTACTGGAAGATGGAAGCCATTGCAGGTTGGAACTGAGAGAATGACATAATCTGATTTGTTTTAGAGGGATACTATAGGCCCAGTGCATGAATTCGTTCATGGGCGGGGTCCTGTTGGCTCGCCCCCGAATGGGCAGATCCAGGGCCAGCAAGGAAGAGGAGCCACAGGCTACAAGCGGTTGGCTGGCCCTGCCCGTCCTGGTTGAACTCCCAGCTGAGGGGGAATTTGGCACATTGATTGTGACTGCCCTGAGGAGTAGGGTGTAGGGAACAGGACGATCAGGGAAGCCCAATGGGAAAGTGACTGCTGTGGTCTGGGTTCAGGTGGCGGGGAGTCCAACTCTTGGCATTGGCCCCTTACGTTGTCCCCCTCCCAGTGTACCAGGTGGACGTGTGACCAACAGGTTAAAATGGCAGTGATGGTCATATATATACCTGTTTTCTGTTAATCCTCACCTGAGGATTTGTTTTGCTTTTCAGAGAATGGAAGGGAGATAGGGGGAGAAAAAGAGAAACATTGATGAGACACACATTGACTGGATGCCTCCCACGTATGCCCAACCTAGGGCAGGGAGTGAACCCTCAACCCTTGGTGTGTGGGCCAATGCTCTATCCACTTAACACTGGCCAGGGCAGTGCTGGTCATATTACCTTTGAGATCAGGTTTTTGAAAAACCTCAACTCCCATCTGGCTGTTGTTTTCCTGGATGATTCCCTTGAGGGTAGCCAGTGACCACATTATAAGCTGCTCTGTGGGAGGGCCCACAGGGCACAGAACGACGGCCGCCAGCAGGGAGTCTGGAAGCAGTTCCCCAGCCCACCGGGCCTTCAGAGAGAGACTGCAGCTTCATGCAGAGCTGTTCTTGGATTCCTGGCCTTCAGAGACTGAGGTAATAAAGGTTTGTTGTTTGGGGGCAGTTTGTTACACAGCATTAAGTGACTAATATGATGTGACTAGGTGACAGTAAATAGAAGTGGTTGGACCCACCATACCTTTTAAAGATAAGAGTTTGGCCAGATCAAGTTTGAGATATTAAGACATTCATGTGGAGAACTTAGGAGGCAGGCCGTTTTAAGTCAAGATACAGGAGAAGGCAGGAGTCTGTACATAAAGGCAGGAGTCTGGTTAGGTTTGGAAGAGTGAGTAGAGCCAAGGAGACCTGGGTATTAAGCCCAGGGAAGCACAGCTTTTAATGACTAGGAAATAGTGGCAAAGGAAGACAGGATCAGAGTGGAGTGTTCTGAGGCCAGTGAGGAACTTCTGAGGGCGGGGAGTCACCTGGGCACTTGTGCAGTGAAGATGAGGAAAGGGCCAATCATTCTGATAATGCTGACAGCCCCTTAAGGGGGACGGTAGCAGAGCGGACTGGAGGAGAGGGGCTGGCATGGCAGAGGGAATGGAAGTGAAGAAGAAAGGACAATACACACACCTCTCTAAGGAGCCTTGCTGGGAGGGGACATGCGATGGAGGGTATTTTGGAGGCAGCTATTATCTGTATGGGTGTAAGCTGATAGAAACAGCTCAGAAGAGAAGGGGGTGATACCCATGGAGAGTTTAAGGACATTTCCAAGGTTCCCCTTGAAGGGTGAACACTTGTTTCTGAGGAGCCATGGGTATAGTCTCCTTGTTGGGGGGAGAGGGGCACAGAGCACCACAGATTTTGGGGGCAGACCTGGGAGAGGTTTCATGTAAAGCTTGACTGCTGGAAGGCAAAGAAAAAGTGCTTCAACTTCTTGGGCTTGGTTTCAAGATGGACTTTATTGGGAAGAGTTAGTGTAAAAAACATTCGAATTCATAAAACTTAAATAAGATAGTAAAATTATACCTTGTAGCTATAGTATAATCACTATATTAATCACAAATAAGGTAAAGTCTAAGCAAACGCTACTTTGTTAGGCTACTGTTGTAAGCCCAAGGCAGGAAACATTGCAATTATTTGAAGTGAGCCCAATGATGTATCTGCATTTGGAGCTGAACAAAAGGAAACAAGCAAGTTCTGATTATGGCACCATAACATTCTAGCAACTTTTTAATATGTCCTGCAGCAGAGCACATTAGTAACTGTAACCATGATTAAAATTCTCATTTCATGTCATAGAGTAATCAGTGTTCTGCATGATACATTGTTTTACTGAGTTTCATGTGGTTTGTCCCTCTCAGGACCTTTCTAGAAACATTTCCTCTCTGGGGACCACTTCCTAAAACACCCAGTTTGCTTGCCCTGGTCATCTTTGGCATTTAATACCAGCCAACCTGCCCAGACTCCGGGCTGGTGGAAGGTCCCACCCTGAAAAAAGGATGAGGCAGATCACCCCTTTTCTCAGACCCTAATGCCATACAACTTGGTCAAGAATGTCACTAAAAGTTAATATGGAATTCTCTTTGGTTATGGGATTTTTATTTAAGCTTATAAAAAAAATACAGCTAGAAATATACTCCTGAATTCTAAAAGTATTTGTGAGTGACTTAAACACAAGTATGTCCTTGCAAAATTAACCACCTGGCCAGGTTTAACATCGCCTATTTCCCTGTGGAATCTAGCATCAGTGCTCTAGTTAGAAATACTTTTGAGTGAAGAACAGCCACTGATCTTAAGCGCGCCGGTGGGTGGGGGCAACTGGCTAGGGCAGCCTTAGATGCTGTCCATGGCTCTGAACTCGCTGAGGGCCTGCACAGGGTTCACATGCTTCTTCTGAGATGCCCGTTTAATCTTGGTCTGTGTCTCATCCTGTTTCTCTCTCTTCACCAAGGGTTTTTTCTCAGGTGCCTTCATCTTCCACGACACAGCTGGGAGGTTGAGGGAAGCCATACCCTGCGACTTCTGGTATTTGGTAGAGGCCACATAGGATGCCTTCACTGTCTGCACCACGGCGTTCATCAGGTTCTTGGCGGCCTGGATCAGGGACATGGCGCTGTCCACCTAAGAGACAAGACATGGGGCGGTGAGGAGCACAGGCCTGGCCTTTAGCCCCCTACTTCCTTCCCTTCAGGGGTGGCTCTCTTCCAAGGGCTAGCTGCTCTTATTCAAATACCCTGAAAAAGCCTTTTCAGATCTTTTGAAGAAATAAAGGGAACAGTAACAAAAATGTAAAGCACATCACCCCTCAAACAAGCTGGAGGCGGCGGCCTGAAGTCAGCCATCCTAGACACAAACGCACTGCCATGGCCACTGACATTGCAGCAGTGATCAAATAGTGTCAATTTCTTTGAAAGGAAATTCCGGGGAATTAATAGGCCCAGCACACTGAGTTCTTTGCCCTACCCAGGTGACGAGAGGTCCAGATCAGTGATAAGCATTTGAGGAGGTAGAGGAGAGTTGAGGAAGCCTTGCTATATCATTTTTGCAATTTTTGAACAGGCTCAATTCTTCTGAGGGGGAAGAAAAGGAAGATTTGGAAAAACACCACCACCACCCTGCAACTGAGGTGCAGCCAGCCCTTGGCCTCCAAGGAACAAACTTCAGGGTTTCCATAGCTCAGCTTCGCAGTTCAGGGCAGGTAAGGAGTATATGTGGACAAGGCGAGACTAGTCCCACCCCCCACTTCTTTTCACAGATGACACTTACCCCAGAGACAACGAGCTCCCCACCAAGGTTCTGCACCTCGGCCTTGACTTTGCTGCAGATGTTGAGCTGGTGGCAGTAGAGAGCGATGCGCTGCAGGTAGGCCAGCAGGTCCTGCTTGCAGGCCGAGTCTGGACACTGACGGGAGAATAAGGTTAGCAGAGCACCCAGGCCTGACTTAAACACTTTTAAACCTCTCAGTGTGCCACTTGCTGGAGCAAAGGGCATGAGATGAGTGACTCAATTACCTGGGCAGTTGGGCTCTAGGCGGCCCTCTGCCTGGGCCCAACCCCCTAAAGGTGAAAAAAGCCTCAGCAAGCAAGAGCGTGGTTCCAGAGAAAGCCTGATGCTCTGGGCTTGCTAACAACCATCCCAACAGCTCTTCTGCTCAATTATGATACAGGTGGCCAGTGTTGTTGTGGTGTTTGTATGCAGTCATGGAACCTGGGTTGCTGCGTAAGGCATGGCTGTTCGCAGGCGGATGGGGTGCCCGTGAACCTGGTGGAAGGAGAGGTTCACTTCGGGCAACGATGAGGATGAGTGAATCAAAGCAACAGAACGAGCACTTGGAGACGTGAGGTCTTGACCAGCCACTGCCCAATTACTGCTGCCAAAGCTTAGGAAGTTTAACCCAGAGAAAGAAATACAGAGCACCTCTCGGGTTTTTATAGCAAGCATTTCCCTCTGGGAGTCTGGGCACAGACAAACCTGTAGACCATGCTGGAAATTTTGAATTGTTTGGAACACAGCAGAGCCCTATCAAGATATGCATTTTAAGATGAGCATGTAGCAAGACGGTACTGGCAGCTGTATGGAGGATGGCGCGGAGAAGTGGGAAAGCAGTGAGGAGCAGCCACATGTAGTTGTCCAGGCGTGGGGCTATGGAGGTTGGCCTGAGCTGGCATTGGGAGGGGACAGGACTAGATGGTGGCCAGTAGAAGCACTTAGCACTGGATTCTGGGAAGGAGGGGTCAGAATGACTTCTGAATCTGGCTTAAGCAATAAGGCACTGCTGTCCCTCAAACCAGATACAGGGTGAGAGGCTTGATACCTCAGGGAAAGGCCTTAGACTGCAGAGAGCTGTAACTGAGAAACAGCATCTCTAATAAATATTAATAAGTCTTGGAACATCGAAGGAAAATGTAAACTTTCCAGGAGGTAGGAACTACAGGGATAAGGGTTTATGAAATCTGGGTAGCTAAGGACACACATATCTGTCCCCAACTGGACACATTACTTTTTAGAAGCAGCAGGATAAATCCACGGGAAGGGACACTCACACCTGGGGTCAGCGTGGTAGGCTTGCAAGCAGTGCCTGCCCAGAGCTCAAGTTATGAAGAGGACTAGGAATAAACACGTCCCCAGGGGAGGCTAGTTTTTAGCCGTTATTGAGGACAGACACCTCCAGGGATGTCCTCTCATGCAAACAGCTTGTCTCAAGAATTATTCAGAAATTCTTAAAAATCTATGCTGGTTGGCAAGTTAAGAACAATTTTTGAGATGAGTGTTGTGTCCCCTGAAAATTGTTATTGCTGCCCGAGACCCATGTGGCAGGTCTGTTACTTACATGGTCTGCGATGGTGCGGCCAAGCTTATCCATCCTGGATCCTGCCTCTGCAATTTTCTTGGCAGCACTGATCACATCTGATGTGTTTTTGAGCGGTCCCTTACCTCTGGAAAAACAAAAACAAAGACGACGATTGCCCGTGAAGCCCGTTAGTGGCAGTGAGCAGAAAAGAGGCGACGCTGCCTCTGCGCCGGTGGGCGGGCACCGCTCACCGCGTGAAGTCGGTCATCTCCATCATGATCATGCACATCTGCTTGGCCAGCACGATGATGTCGTTCCCACTGTCGTCCCATTTGGACACTTCAGCATCCAGCTTGCTCTTTTCTTCCTGGAAGCTGGCCACCTGTTCTGCAATCTTTGCTTTTTGCTCTTGGGGAAGCTGAGCCATGATTGCCTAAAATCAGAAGCACAGAAAGCTCTTACATGAAAAGAATGACATTCTCACAGTACATTAGCCAAAAGCATTTCCACTGAGCAATCTATGACATAGGTAGGATAATGCTTTAATAGGTTTCATTTTGCCGGAAGGGCCATTCCTAACCCACTTTTAAGAACAAATTTTAGTGTGGAGGAACGCAAGAGTGTAAGGGGTACAGGCTAATGTGGAAGCTTCGGGATCACACTGGCACAGGAACAGAGCTGCTTAATTGAGTTCTGTAAAAGTTTCAGCCTGTCTCGAGAACTCAGATGAGAGAAGGGCTAATGCTGGCGGCGCTTTCCCAAGCATTTCCTGTGGCCGCGGTGCCTGTTGAACTTTTCAAGGTGAACGGGAAGTGGTTTTAGGATATACATTTTAAAGAAGGCAGGCAGAGAGCCTGCTGTGGTACATGTACTTTGTGTATCTCAGTAGCATTGAAACCTCAGCAAAGGAGCATCTGGGCTCCCTCAGGGCTCATGACAAAGCGGGGCCTAAAGCAGGGATGTACTCATTGTTCAAAACGAGACCTGAAAAAGGACTTCTTAGAAATGTTCCTTGGATCCTTCGTGAAACAAAAATGCTACTGATGGAAGATTATTGGCTCAAATGCAAAGGTTCTTACTGATTTTCTTGAATGTACCACTGTTCCTTTATTTAATCCATAAAATATTTCAGTATAACTGATATGGACAAAGACTGCAATCTTTTTAACTAACAGTGTTGATTAGATCCTAGGGCCCTTCTGATGCAGGATCCTCACAAACCAAGCCCCTGGGCACAAGTGAGGAGAAACCTACAATTGACTAGTAGGTGCCCCAACTCCTGTCATATGGCCAGAAAAAAAGAGGGAAAATTGGGTTCTCAATACTGAGAGTATTTTCCTGGAAAAGAAAAGCTAAGACCTGAGAGGGAGGAAGGTCTGTAGAACAAATTGGCTTTTTATTTTTGAGAGAAACACATTGATTAGTTGCCTCCCACACACACCCTGGCTGGGGACTGAGCCTGCAACCCTTTTCTGTGCAGGCTGACACACTATCCACTAAGCCAGACTGGCGAGGGCCCAACACGTTTACCCGCTTCCTTACCCGGGCACTCTGGCCAGCTATCAGCTGGTCGTCTTCTGTCTGGACGCTTGTCCTGCTGCGGACATCGAAGTCTTCTGTCTCGAAGTCAGAGTCATCCAGCTCCTCCGGAGTCTGCCCGAGAGAGAGATGAGCCAGACACAACGTAGGCCTCCCGCTGCCCCAAGCCACTCAGTACACCCTGCCTGACGCAGGAGCACCCAGAATGTTCATGTGCAGTGTTCTGAACAGATGTGGGTAACAGCTAAACGCACTCACTACTTGTTTGAGACCTTGTTCATAGGTGCACCTGTGGGCAGCTCATCCAACAAACAGTATCAGGGCACCGCACCACACTGGCCAAAGGGCCAAGGGGTTCCTTTCTGAGGGTTAGGGCTTCAATTCCCACCCGAGTCAAGACTCTTTGACATAAGATTTATATATCTTAATACTTCAACAGCTGCATCCAAAGATGAGAACTGTCCATGGTAGAAAAGGTACTGTATTAAAAATAGGTATTTTACACAACATTAGGCAGTTTAACTTTTCAACTTTATGATAAAAAGAACATTAAATGTATTAAATAATATTGGGCCTTCTCTTAAAAATAGTGAAATGTTTTGTATTTTTTCCTTTGATAGGAGGAAAAGAGAGAAGGTGGCAGATAAGATCTAAATACCAAAGGAACTGATTAATGGTCCTAGTTCTGCTTTAATTATGAAATAAAATTCTATTTTGCACAATCTCCAACATCACATGATTAACAGCTGACTTGAAACATAACGTCATCCTGAAGTCTCAGTAAGGGGAAGGCCCTCATCTTCCCCAGGACCCAATCCAAGCCCAGCCCCAAGAGTTGCTGTAGTAAGAGGACGTGAGAGAAAGCACCTGACACCAAGAGACTGTACGTGTGCAAGAGCCAGGCCTCTCCCTCGACGGGAAGAGGTGAGAAGAGCAGAGAGCACATCAACACAAGGTCCCGGAGTCTCTCTGACTTGGGAGCGCAAAGTCACCATTGCCCATTTTAATCCTTTCAGAGCTGTAAGAGGAATCCATGCTGGCTGCCTGACCCTAAGATGTGGTTTCCCACAAGTCTACGTGCTTCCTCAGAAAGGACTCTAGAATTTGAAACACCTCCTGGAGATAGGAAGTTTCAACCATTCAAATCCCCAAAGGCATTAACCTCTATCATTAAGGTTTCTGTTACTGTTTCTGGGTGTCTGTGGGCACAGAAAGGCTTCTGGAGAAACAGGGCTGCATTCATTGCCCTGGTGTATGTGATCCGGGGTCCCTTCACACCACTGAGACATGGCCCCTGGGTGTAACTTGCATTCAGCCAGGCGGCTGCATAACATGGTTCTTCTTTAGCAGCAGGACAAAAGAAAGCAAAAGGCTCCACAAGCGGCCTCACCCCAACATGTCCGGATGACCGGGGCCTGCAGAACGGCCAACCAGGCAATCTCTGAACAGTTCTTTTTCCTCCTCACCCCAGAGCAGTACAGTCTTGCCTAAGAGTGTCTACACTGCATATAAAATGGATCCAGCCTAATCCAACTGTCTTAGAAATGGTCTCTTTCCAGCTGACAGTCCAGCGAGGCCCTGAAACTGTCAGGATAAAAAGTGAGACAGATCCCTGCGTACCTTGAGGTCTGACTAGCAAACCATGAAGCTGTGAATGAAGCTCCTCTGATCCAACTAAATCAACAGCAAAGCAGCCACCTCTGCTGCGGACAGGGGCACGCACTTATGCTCAGAACAGCATGTGAAGGATGACTGCTTTGGGAAAGGCAGCTGCGAGACCCAGGCCTAGCACCCTGGGGGTACGTTACAGAGGGGTTGGAGCTTCTCAACCCCTTCTTGTCTATTTATGTCAACCCAGAGGGGGCTGAACTTTCAGATGGTGAGAACTGCTGCTCTCTCAGACACGATGGGCCACAGGGGGCCCTGAGCAGGTGGCTCTTCCATTCAGCTACCGTGTGAGGGCTCAACACTTGGCCATGAGCCAGGGAACATGACCAGGGGCTGCCACAGTCACTCATCCTCACCCTGAACTGGGTTTCTAGCATCCTGCCTGCCACCCCTTCAAAGACGGGGGGTGGAGGGGGGGCGCACATGCAAGGCTCCATGTGAAGAATACTCCCTTCTCTGAAAATAAAATAACTATAATAAAAAGCCATTATTTTCTATAGTTTCCCTCTAACGCAAATGGAAACCTCCTATCTGTGGCGACTGCTCTAAAATCATCATGAGCAACTCATACTAACTCCTGTTCTCAGTCTGAGTTTGGGCTCTAACTTGCAACTAAAAGTCATTTTAGACAATGTAATTAAATCTATTTCATTCTAACAGCTTTTAGATTCATGGTTTTAATATACTGCCAATGCATCTGCTGAGTTCCAGAACGATGCGTTGCTCTCAAGGTCAGCGAATGAGAGAACAAGCTGTTAAACATCCAAAGTGCAGTCGCTCACCCTGATCATCAACACCGCTTTCCTGATGTCCCGGATGCCGTCGTACACCAGGCGGGAGGCGTCGATGAACTCATTCTCGTCCACGGGCTGAGCAGGGTCCGAGCTGAGGGCTTCCACGGCCGCCTCTACTTGCTCAGTGAAACGCGGCATAACTGCAGAGACAGAAGCCAGAGACGACATTCGAGAGCCCTCCCTGAATCTGCCTCCCTCGCAAAGAGGCAAGGTGAGCCTCCACTTCGACCTCTGTGAGACTTACCGCTGAAATAAACTAAATGCCGAATTTTACAATATTTCCACCAAGACTCAAATCATCCTTTGTCTCCGACCAGATTTTACAATAAAAGAATTCGATGGTTGAGAATATTGAAGTAAGATTAATTTGAGGCCTTGCTTAAGAATGGGACCCTCCTTAAATTAGTATTTATTCACTAACAGAAGACTTAACTTGAAAATTCATCTTAAATAGTGCTTTCAGAATTATTTCCTCAGCCCTGGCTGGGCGGCTTATTGGTTAGAACGTCATCCCTCACAACAAAAGGTTGCAGGTTCGATGCCCAGTCAGGACACATACCTAGTTTGCAGGTTTGATCCTTGGTCAGGACATGTAAACCACGTAATGAACTGATGTTTCCTTTCCTCTCTCTCTAAAATCAATTATATATATCCATCCATCCTCAGGTGAGGATAAAAAAAAAATTATTTCTGATCGTTAATCAGGGGACCCATATGAAGGAAATGTGTGTGAAAGGCAATTGGGCTGACCAACTTTTCACAAGTCTGACGTCCACCCAGAACACCCGAGTCCTGGTCTCCTACTTCCCACCGGGCTGTGTGGGCCGCACCATAAGGCAGGGGGTTCCCGTACCTGTGTTGGAGAGAAGCTTGGTAGCTTCTAGCACCTTCTCTGTGTAGACCCCTGGCTCATAATTGTCCATTTCTGAGGTGACTACATGAATGACCCGGGCTGCCCGGCCTCGGATTGCACCGGCTGTGCGGTCCAGTCCGTCCACATCTTTCTCTTGGAGAGCAATGACACATTTGTTCACATCTTCCAATATGTGATTCTCTGGGAACAAACAAAAGTGGAATGAGGGAGAAGGCCTTTCATGAGAAGGGGACAATTTTTTTTCGCCTTTTTTTCCCCCTCTCTTAAAGTTGTTATATAATAAATATCAGTTTCATTTATATAAATGTCTAACCACATAGTGATTAGACATTTATATTACTTGCAAAGTGATCACCCTAAATATGTCTAGTACCCACCTGACACCATATATAGTTATTACAACACTGACTGTATTCCCTGTGATGAGAAGGGGACAATAATTGTTAGTTGGCATATACCATTTCACTGAGAGCTCACTTTGTGCCAGCCACAGCGCCAAAAGCTTTCACATGCATTACTGCACTGACAAGATTAACCACTGGATTAAATGTCCCACTGAAACTCAACCTATAATCACCTCCGACAATAAATCTTTATTCCAGGTTTTTTGTTTTTTTTTTAAAAAAAGGCCCACCTGTAAGGCACAGTTGTTCTATAAGTCAAGCAGATGATTCAGATAACAGAAACCTCAAGACTTCTCTTCCCCTTAAATAATCATTGACCTTATGTATATCCCAAAGTCTAAGTTAGAAGAACAGGTCACTTTAAGACTATCTCCCAGAGCCTCACCCTCCCGCCAGCAGGTGCCAGTGGCAGCCAGCGCAGCCCGAGGAGCAGCTGTAGTCCGCAGGGAAGCCTTCCTGAGGGGCGGAGGGCGCCCACCAAGGAAACATTCCTGACCCTGCAGGCTGCAGGTGCGCCTGTTGTGATATTTGTGGAAATTCTTGAATTAAGCCGAGAAGTGGCTCCTACCAGTGACAGAGCTGGAAGACACACCAAAACTTTTTCCTCAAAACAAAAAGCTTGACACTAGATCTTGGAAATTTCAGAGTAAGGCATTTGCTTCAACCTCATCGATAATAACAAAAAGGAGACAACCCAAAGTTCAAGAGCAGAGTGAGAAATAAGTTTGCCACACGATGTACGTGTTTCCCCGAAAATAAGACATCCTCCGAAAATAAGACCTAGTGCAACTTTGGGAGAAAAAATTAATATAAGACACTGTCTTATTTTCGGGGAAACAGAATGATGGGCTGCCCAGACGTGTGGGTGGGGGGTGGTGGTGGAAGGGGGCGCGGCACAAGGAACACAAAGGCAAGTTCCTAGGTTATTACCTGACCATTTCCTTCGTGCTTGGAAAGAAGCTGTCTTCAAAACATGTAAGAACTCTTAGAAACAGTCAAAGACATGCTCACTCTATTAAGCCAAGAGAGTACCTGGCACAACAGGTGAAAGACTCATGGTCCCAGTTCTGAGAGCAATTAGCAGAAATGCAATTTGTTTAAAAAACACATCTGGTTAGTCCTCTGCCAGCCCTGGCTACCTTATGCTTTGACTTATCATTATCTAGCACTAGTTCCTGATTTAATCCACTTTCAAAGCCAATATCCTTCTTTCAGAACCTCTGCTAATGTAGTCACATTATATATAACAATACGATTCACCTCTTAAGTACCCAAAACAAGGAAGTGGTCATGATAGGCTGTTTCCTTTCATCTCAAGTACTCAGCAGTATAGATGCGAACAGAGCCACCAGGCACCCTGCCTCTGGGTTGGAGGATCTCCAGTGAGCCCCAAGCACCAACAACCCTCCCTTTGTAGTTCCCAAGAGACTGTAGACAGGGTCTCTATACGGATCTCTTTGTTCTAAAACCATAAGTATAAAGGGATAAGATGGGGAGAAAAATCACAAGAAAGAAATAATGATGTGAGCAATTACAATTAAAAGGAAATTTGGTAAAAACATCTTTGCTACAAAACTAAACTAACTCTTATCGTATGATCCAGCAATCACATTCCTTGGTATTTATCCAAAGACAATGAAACTTACATCCACATAAAAACCTGCACATGGATGTTTATGGCAGCTTTATTCATAATTGCCAAAACTTGAAAGCAACCAAGATGTCCAAGTGGGTGAACAGATAAACTGTGGAACATCTAGACAATGGAATGTTACTCAGCACTAAAAAGCAATGATGGGTGGGAATGGCTACAAGGGGTGAATGGGGGGGAGGATAGTACATACAACGAAGATTTTTTTAAAATTTAAAGTGCACGTAAAAACAATAACTATCAAGTCATGAAAAGACATGGAGGAATTGTAAATGAATATTACTAAGTGATATTCAGACAGTCCGAAAAGGCTACATACTATATGACATTCTGGAGACGGCAAAACTACGGAGATGGGGGGGAGGGAATGGGTTGGAGAGAGGAGGGAGGAATAGACAGAGCACAATACAGTTACGACGACATTCATTTAATGTCTACTAAATTAAAAATTAGACTTGTTAAGGGTACTATTGAAAGAGAAAACATTAAACCTTTTACATAAACAAATTTTAAGGGAGATATTATAAGAATAAATGGGTTTGGAGTCCATCAGAAGCATCATTTACATACCAATTCTCTACATATTAATTTTAACTAAACAGAATGGTACCTATCCACCACAACTGAATCTAACACGTTTTACACTTGCATTTTATATCACTAAGAAAAGAAAAATAAAAAAAGTAAAGATGGTGCTAACTAAATTTGAACCAATGTTTTCTCATATCACTGATTTTTAAGACTCATCCCTGTTTCAGGATCGTTAATACGTGGGGATGGGGGGAGCACGTCTTAGAATCAACGAAGCCTGATTCTTTTTTGTGCACTAAACAAAGTGGCCCAACTGCCACCAAGGATTTGCTAACCTTCATCTAGACAGCTATGTTTTTAAAAATCAATTTAGACCTTGAATTTATACTGTCTTTCATCCAGATGAATGCAAACCAGGAAAGGGTTTGCCATTCTTTAGCAACAGGAAGCTTATTATTTCAGGAAGTTGACTAAAGTAATATTCTCTACCATCACTGAACAGCTGTGTCTAGGAAAACCCCAGCCAGCTGAGGCCGCCACCACCCAGGACAAAGCATCAACCCTGCTCTCCACACTGGTGCCACTGGCAAGTGCAAACATGGGAGGATTGGAGGTACCCACACTAACCACAAATTACTTAAGTTTTAATTGAAATTCCCAGGGAACTTAGCCTGGGTCCATTATGAGAAGACACACCAAACAGTACCACATTAAAGGCTCTGATTGTTCCTTACAGTCTTTTTTGTAGGTGCTTCTAATAAGGAAAAGAGTCATATACATACAACAGTATTTATTATGGACACTATTATTATGTCTGTTTTTCATCTGGAAACTTTTTTAGGTCCAGCTCTATAGATCTAACCCATCTATTTTAATGGCTATGCAATCCTATTAAATAGATGGAAGGACCATAAATCAGCCTTCTCTTACACCTTTTGGTTGAACAGCCTCGTACAGATATTTTGGCAAAAATCTGTGTACAAGTCCCTGGGGAAAGTCTCTAGCAACAGGATTACTAAATCAAAGGCATACACGTTTAAAGTAGATGTTTGGTACCTAATTGCCATCTAGGAACCAAGCCAGCTGGCACTCTCCAAAAAAGGATGCATAAACTTATACATCAGTCCACAGTGCCCGGCAGGGCCTGTCCTGTATACCCTGTGCTCTGGATATTTTTATTGGTACAATCTTATGCACATAGAAGTAATATTGGACTTACTATATAACAGGAAATATTCTGATTGCTTGATGTTTAACTAAATGGTAGCTTTTTCCCCCCATCAGCCTATAGACTGAAGGGTCCCAGGTTTGATTCCAATTAAGGGCATATACCCAGGTTGCAGGTTCAATCCCTAGTAGGGAGGGTGCAGGAGGCAGCTGATCAATGATTCTCCTCATTGATATTTCTTTCTCTCACCTTTTCCCTTCTTCTGTGAAATCAATATAAATATAAATACATACTTTAAAATCACCATTAATTAATGAGGAAACTGAGGCACAGAAGTATTGAGTGACCTGCCTGAGGCCACACAGCTAGTGGGCACTGGAGTCAGAAGCCAAATTTAACTTCATCACTACCTATGCCACTTCTTCAAAAGAGAAACTCTTCAGTTTTGCATTTTTGCTATAAAACACAAAAACAAAAATAAGGTAATTTTTATTTAATGTCCTCCAAATCAGACCAAATTCTCTGGGCACACTGATACATAATGAAGAAAAAAAGTACAAATTACCACTCTTGTGGATTGCCCCAAAGTATCTAATGCAATATGTTATTTGCTTCTAAGACCATATGGTAAAGCAATGTAATAAACCAATTAGAACCACCTGCATCTTTAAAAGTAAAAAAATTTAAAAAACAACCGAAACTTCCATGTGTAAGCAGCTTAAATGAATGAGAAAGTAAATTGCATTTCCATGGAAAACATTTATCAAATACAATTCAAATGAAATTCAAACAGTCTTTATCACTTTGTTAAATTTCAAACCACCATCCTTATGGGATCAGTCAGTGCAAATACATTCGTGATTTGCTGAATGCTCCCTAGTATCCTAAACCATCTACAATATTCACAAGGCAACATTATGAATAGAACAGCTTGGGGGAAAGGAGTCCCCATTTCCTCTTCCCTGAGAGTGGCATGCATATACCTCTCTATTTTCAAGTGCCACACTCTCATATTTGATATGCAGTAACCCAAGTTTTCCTTGCCCTGCAGATTCAGAAAACACTGGCATCAGAGTCTTGCAGATGACATGCAAAATGGCCACTACTTTTTGAGCCACAAATTTAGGATATGCCTTATGATAAGTATAAGGGAAGTTAGGAACCAATGGAACAGAATATCCAGGAACAACAGAACTGAAGCAACATAACAGGGTCCTCTCAGTCCTAATCCCTAAATAACTTCCCCTTGGATAGGCTACAACAAACATCCTGGCCCTATGGATCCCAAGAGGGAATGTGATGGCAGATAATCATTAGTGGAAATAACCTATAAAAACCCTCCCACTGCCAACGGGTCACATGGCACCAAAATACAGTAGAGAACAACCACTCTAAGGAGTCAAGCGACATCATCACTTTTCATTTGGCAACATTTTATGAAGCCCACCAACCTTAAGGCCCATCTCCCCAGATGACAATCACCCATGGTGGGACTTAACTAGTAGCTCCCCTGTTCAGAAACGGAGGGGGCTCCTGAAGCACCAGTGTGTGAGAGGGCAAGAGGAAATTGGCCAAGGGGGAAAATCAGCATGAGGCCAAGACATGGCTTCTCATCTAAAGACTGCCCCTGACTATTGCAGAATGACACCTGCTCTCCATCCCACAGTGCATATCCACAGATGCTTAGCTGCACAAGGACCAAGAACTGGGACCAGAGGGGGCCTGCCCAATAACGGTGAGGTTCCTCTCAATGAGAGCCAGCCAGGACTACCCTACTGAGGCTACGTGTCATGAGATGGGGAGAAATCTCTAGGACTCCCCCCCCCCCCCCTAAAAAAACAAACAAAAACCTGCAAAAGCTGGGTGAGGCCCTTAGTAGACTGAGCTGCAGATGAATTGGAACCTCCTGTTTCAGCGAGATCATGTTTCTCCAATATTTCCTCAATGAAAAGGGGACCAGTTCTATACCCTGAAGAAGTCTGACTCTATAGGACAACAGACCTACTCAGGCCATCCTGCTCGGTTCACCCAGACGGCAAATATTCTCAACAATGAATCGCCATCAAGGAATGTTTCAAGGTGCGATGACCCAGCAACTGCGCCCTGTACTGTGAAGGTCCCTTAAATTTCATGCCTCTCCTGCCACCCTCAATGACCCCTCTGAGACTTTCCGAAACCAAGCTTTTCAGTCATGAGCCTTGAAACCTTCTTACCATCCTTAGTCTTTGGAATCCAGTGTCATCATACCTTTGGTCCTGCTTGTGTGAAGCAATCATGGTAGCACCCCCCTTAAAGGGAACAAATTTAAGTCTGCTTTTCATATTTAGTCTGCCACATTAAAATGATTTGAAAGAAGAAAAGGAAGTGCTAAAGCTGCCATGGGTGAGGTGGATACATAAAAGCATAATGGACTCTGAATGCTAAAAATTAACTGGTTAATGGAGAACTCTGCACAGGCATTAGCTTGTCTGTTCCCTTCATCCTATGCCCCTAAAAAGCACATTTAAAAATCAGGAATTGTTCATTATTTAATTACTTGACATTGCTAAGCAAGTCTATGACAAAACATTAGAGAAACTTAACATATAAAATTCAGATGCTCTGAAAATACCACCACTTTTTGAGTAGAAGAATTGTTCTGTGTTTTTATATGCTAAATAGAAACTGTCTAAACTCCTTTCCATCAAGTCAACCCTTATACTTTCCACAGTTGCATAAAAATTGAACATATCAAAGAAAATTATATCTGTTAGAGAATTTTATTTCTCTTTACCATTCTTCTGCTTTATGTCACATACCCTAATCATACTGCCTGGATTTCACTAACCACTACTGCAGAATCCCCTTTGTTCTTTGATTTGAAGATGTATGAGAAATATTCTATTCTCTCTCAGTTTATTTTGCTGTAAGAACCGAAAATCCTTTGAGACCAAGCCTGATACACCCACTCTAATCAAGAGAGGGAAAGTTTAGGAATGGCTTAGCTAGCTCCAGAGGGGTGCTTTGCACTGAGAATCCTGAATTAAAGGTGTGTTTTGAAGGTAGAATGTTTTTCCCCCCCCTAAACCTATGAAAAAGTACCAATTCAGTACTTTATTGAGAAAAACAACGCAAGGCCAAGATTTCAAAAAGAAAACACACACACACAGCTATTTGCTGCATTTTTTGGCACCTGCAAAGATGTGCTTCCAAACCAGTTTTGTTTTAAAGTACCAGCATCTGTAATTTGGTGTTCCTGCAGCAGCACAGTTTACACTCTTTTTTGCAGTTTGTGGATTGCTGCTCCTTACTCTATCAAGCAGAGCCACCAATCCCAAGGAAAGCAGGCAGAGACGGGGACATTGGTATGCGGAGCACACTGTCACCTTATGTAGGTCACTGCTGGAGGGCTGTGCTGTGCATGTACTCAGGCCCCGCTTCTGTTTCAAGCCCCACTGCCACTCGCACTCCCATGTTCCAGCCTGTGGTTTCCTCGGGCGAAAGGCAGTTTCAGCCCTACTACTGCCCAGCTCTGACTGCCCAACCACTGGCCTCAGGATGCCTGGCACCTCCAGGCAGCAAGCAGTGCAGCCAAGGGCAGCAGAGGATCCATTAAATGGAGAGTGCATTTATACTTAACTCTCAGGAGATGGATTGAAATTTATCTCTGTGCGATAAACAGTGAATTGCAATTGACAGACATTTTCTATATGAATGCAATTTACTATGTCATTACCAGTTTATGTTTATATAATGAAATCAACTGTTTTTGTGAGGTGAATTACCCAGATTTATTTTTTTACAAGTTCATAATTAAATGGCATTTAAATATTTCCTCTCTGTTTTCTGTCTGTGTATCATAGTCTTTTGAAAAGTAGTCAGTCCAACTATGATCATTTGTGAGTGAGGAAGAGATTTCCAAGAAGGAGAAAAATTATTTTCAAAACGAAACTAAAGGTGATGGTGTTGGTGTTCCCTTCCTGTTTCACCGCCTCATAACAAAAACCACAGCCTCTACTAGGATACAGGACATTTTTCTAAACACAACAGCAGGAAGAGTGGTGAATGTTATGGTGCTGTACAGGTCAGTTGCAAAATCCTACTCTTAACAAACAGGGAAAACCCTCTGCCAGCCAGTTTTCTAACTGAAGCGTCTAAGATCAAGACCAGCCCACCCCCTGGGAAACAACTCCAATGCCACCTCCTATGGCTCAGCCGTCTGTGAAAGCTTCTCTTGTTTTTTTAAATTAAAATGAAAACCAGCTCAGTATTATTGCTAGAATAACTTGCCTGCCCAGACTTGGGGGTGTTAAGATTGCCATTACTGTAACTTAGGCAAAAGTAATTATGCACATCCTCACAAGCCTCTCTGGGGAACCAGCTGATTACCTGAGACAGCCAGGAAGTCATCAATGGAAGTAATGTCATCGACGGCATCTGTGAGAACACGGACTTGCTTTTCCCACTGTTCTTTAAAAAGATCCATGTTCTCTTGGGCCAGCTTACTCTGTGGTTTTGCTGCTAAAGCCAATGCAGCATTAATAACCTGTAAAGATAGTCAAGTTCACTATTTACTTTTCAGGGTCATGAAAATAAAACAAGTGGGATAACATGCTCAGTAGAGTGGCGATGGCTTTGTTTCACATGCGTTTTACAGGACACATGATACCACACATTTCACTATAACACAAAGCTGGAATAGAGAAATGTGTTAAACAGATTTTTAAATCTGAATGTAGAAGCAATACATTTGCAATATAGAACTATAGTAATACACTGAAAATATGGACAATTACAAACAAATAAAAATATCTAATCTTTCCACTCTGTGATAGCAACTCTATAATTTTTTATATTATATTCCAGGCTTTTTTCTCCTCATATACATATGAATGTATTCATGTCAAAGAAATTCACAATTAGAATTATGTGCTACATAATTCTTTTAAATACTTCTCCATATCATCTGTACACACACACACACACACACACACACACACACACACACACACTCACTCATGTATAATAGAGAAATATGCTAATTAACCAGGACGCTGTAGCGGGTGGACTGGACAGGAGGAGGTTGCGTGCACAGCATTGGGGGTGGGGTGGCAGGGGCCTCTATGCCCCTGCGCTGGGGGAGGGCCTGATCAGCAGCGGCCACAGGTGCTTCAAGGGCCAGAGAGGGAGGCAGGGCCAGACCAGCGACTCGAGGGTGGGCGAATCGCGCACTAGGCTCCTACTTAAATATGTCTAAAAATTTAACTGTTTACTCCATCTTATGGATGCACATCACTATTTTCCTACTGTAGGGTATCTATGTTTGTTCCAGCTTCCCACCATTCTTAATAATCTTATGATACACATTTGGCATGTCAGGTTCTTGCTTGATACATTATCAAAGCACAACTGTGAATAACAAATTGTATTCTAATTCCAAGCATTTTTCTAACAGGCATATTTGACATATCTGAACATAAAGTATAAAATTTGTGATGTTTAAAAAATTATTTCTTCCTGACTGGTTTGGCTCAGTGGATAGAGCTTCAGCCTGCGGACTGTTCTAATGTTTTGTCTTCACCAGAAGACAAAACATTAGAACTGTTTCCACTTTTTAGCCATTATGAATAACATTGTTATAAATACATGTTTTTGTGTTTTCATTATTCTTGGGATATAACTAGGAGTGGAATTGCTGGATTATATGGTTAACTTTATGTTTAATATTCTGGGAACTGCCTTACTGTTTTCCAAAGCAGCTGTAGCATTTTACATTTCTACCAGCATGTATGATGGTTCTACTTTCCCCACTTGATTTTCCTTTTTTCTAAAAATTATTGTCATCCTAGTGGGGATGAACTGGTATCTCACTGATGTTTTGATTCTCATTTCCCTGATGGCTAGATGGGTATAGTTCTTTTTATGCACTTACTGACCATTAGTATAAATTCTTTAGAGAAATAGCTACTCAGATCCTTGGTATTCACTGAATGAGTAATGAAAGTAGTATGAAAATGAGCTGAGAGAATAATAAAGATTTCTAAGCTCTGGTGGGAAGGGGGATCTGGGGCTTGGTGAAGAGACTGAGCAAAAAGGAAAGAGAGAAAGAACTCATGGACACAGATGACAGTGTGGTGAATGGGTGGGAATGGTACAGGGTTTATACGGGGGATAAATGGTGCTCCAAAAAAACACACACACCAAAATTAAAAAAAAATACTAAAAAGTTTTCTGAATACAAGGTGCTCATGGGTTATTAAAAATAAATGTGTTTCTAATAATGCAACTTGGAAGGGAAGCAAAGATAAGAGGAAACTGATAGTGATGGAGTGGAGATCCTGATGAAGCAAAAAATAGTTACCATAGAGGCATTTGAGCACACAAACTTGATGGTATGGGTTGGGGGATGATTTTTTCCTAGGTAAAATAGGAACCACATACCTACAGGTCATGTGTATAACTCCCAAAGGATTAGAGGGATATGCCTAAGAGCCCCCAAAAACCGTAGTTGTAACAAACCGAAGTATTAAACCTGCTAGACTGGTGCAACTGTTACTCTTTCCCACTAAACAACAGGAAGTGAAAACTATCAAGACAATCAGTAAAAGATACCCAGGCAAAAATTACTACGCCATCCAGTTAGTAATTACTAATAACCCACTACTTTCTAGTGTATGGGTTTAGATAATAAATTATTTGGAAGAAAAGACATCCTATCTTTCTTGTGTTATGCTGTGATCTCCCATATTAACATCATTTCAAGGCTTGTTTTTTTTTTTTAATCTCTTTTTCTTCTTGCCACTCATTTCCACTAGGTGCTTCACCATTGTGGACTACTCACTTCATAAACTCATTAATTCATTCATGTTTTAATGAATCAGAGTGAAACTAGACCTTGTAAGAATATTTGTCTGAAGAAAATGTTTCCAATGAGAGCCAAGTAAACATAGACTGGGACTTAATTACATGTTTTAAATACTAAGATAACTTTTCCTTACAAAGAGAAAACTGCTTTCTTTTGTTCTGTAATATATCTTATTGCATACAGTGTATGGGAGGAACAGCACCTTGCCTAAGGTTAACTTTCTCATTTGACTATGAAACTTTCTCATCTTTACAAAGGATACCTGATAAATGGAACTGCCTTATGATTCAGCGACCCCACTTTTGGGAATTATGTGAAGGAACCCGAAATACTAATTCAAAAGAATATATGCACCCCTAATGTTCATTGCAGTGTTATTTACAATAAATATCCAAGATCTGGAAACAACCCCAGTGTCCATCAGATGAGTGGATAAAAAAGCTGTGGTACTTTTATACAATGGCATATTACATGGCTATGAAAAAAGGAAACCTTACTCTTTACAACAGCATGAATGGACCTGGAGATTATTATGCTAAGTGAAATAAGCCAGTGGGAGTAGGTGCAGGTGGGCAAAGGGGACGGGGGAGGAATTGGGTAGAAAGAGACTTTATTTTGGATGGTGAGCACATTGTGCAGTGTGAAGATGATGTGTTACTGAACTGTACACTTGAAACCTGTACGGTTTTATTAACCAACATCACCCTAAAAGAGAGATCATCTCTAAAATGCCCTTCTCAAATTTTAAAGACTCATTGTCAAAAACCTATTGTTGGCAAGGTTTTGTTTTGTTTTATTTTTTCCTTCCCTTCCCTAACCAGCACCAAATGAACTAAAAAACTGAAGTATTTGAAGTAGCTACGGTGGACTAAAAGTTAGGCACATCTATAAGCAAGACAGTCAGGGACACATGGGATATGGTGTCGGGTCTTTCCTATAACAGTTTTTTCCTTGTGAGAGTGTATAAAGCTGGGGGTTCTGTGCTCACATGGAGGCAGGACCCCTCCGCATTGCAGCCACAAAGTAGAAGGCAATGGCGAGAAAGAGAGGGGGGGAGGGGAGGGAGGGATGGACAACCTGATCTACTTCATTTCTTGCTGATGAGAACAACAAATCACCAAAAATGTGGGTGCTTTCTCCCCCCAAACAACAAAATAAAGCCATTTTCAGGTTACTTCCTCCTCAACTAAAGTTTAATCTCCAATATTTGAAGTGAAAGTCGCTTGATTACTAAAAAGTAATTATTTTAGAACAGAATTTCCCATTTCCAAAGTTAATTTTGGTACACGGGGACCTGGAAAACGGGGACAAAAACTCTTCTCTCCCCTCCAGAAAGGAACAATGAGAACTGTGGGTGGGGCCACTAAAGAGCAGCCCCTGGGAAGCTGCACTCAGCAGAGGGGCCAGGGCTGCCTGAAGGCAGGACTCTGGGCATTAAGCACAAAAAACAGCCTGAAAAATCCTAACAGGCACTCCATCTTTGGACACATGTTGCCAGTAGTGTCACAATAAGGAAACATACACTTTAACAACTATCTATATGCTATAGCATATTAAATACCACCTTAAACTCCTGGCGAATTAACTAATCTAGTTTAGATCATTGGCTTTGCCTGGAGTCTGCTTATCAAACAAGCCTCTGACTGCAGAAGAGAATACAATAGGGCTAGAAACCCCTCACCTACCCACTCCCATGAGCCCAAGCTCAGAGTCTGCATCAAGATGGAGAGAAAGGAGAGGGCTCCACTCAAATCCCTCTTCCTCACAGCAACAGCTACCTTGAAGGGGAGGGTCTTTTGAGCATGAAACATATGGACAAGGCGAGGCCACATGCATCTCCCAAAAGTGTTTGGTTTACTTACCCTCCTCAAAGAATTTAAAAATTTAAAAATTTGTTACCAGTCATTTAAAATTGAAACTTGACAGAAACATCTGAACTACTGACTTCTCTTTAAAAATAATGAAAGCCCTGGCTAGTTTGGCTCAGCTAATAGAGCGTCAGCCTGGAGACTGAAGGGTCCCAGGTTAGATTCTGGTCAAGGGCATGTACCTTGGTTTCGGGCACATCCCCAGTGGGGGGAGTATAGGAGGCAGCTGATTGATGTTTCTCTCTCATCGATGTTTCTAACTCTCTCCCTCTCCCTTCCTCTCTGTAATCAATAAAGATATATTTAAATAAATAAATAAATAAATAAAATAAAATAAAATAAAATAAAAGGACCTAGCAACACACAATTTATGCACATCGCCATTTTCATTAGCTCTGTCTACTAGAATCCTAATGTGATATTTTCCCCTGGGCTTTAAGTTCATTTATATAAATATTCTTGGTAGGTGTGATCAGCGTATGTTTCCATCTGTTTCAGCCAATGTGTGAAAGCATTATCACTTTTTAAACATTTAAAAACCAAATGGAGAACTAAAGACATTAAAAAAAAATACTGATAGGGCAAAATGGCAAACTTAACATGTTCTAAATTTATTTCATACAACTTGGTCACACATTAACTTATCCATTGTGCTTATGATTATCTGTACAGCTAGCAATCACTAGATTTCATCAATGGATTAAAGCTAAGGAATTGCCCATCACATAATGCCCATTCACAAACTAAGCCCATCATTGGGAAACTAGCCACATGGTTGAGAATGAGAGCAAATGCCCTACTAACCTGCATACCAGTTAGGATCTCAAATTAGTAACCAGGTTTACTTATTTCGATCACCTACCTTGAAGTATCAGAAATTATTTATATGAACAGGTATTGGACACAGTATATTTTAAAGTTGGTTGCAGACATAACACAGAAACTTCCTTTCTCCTGTGACCTCTATTCCATTACTTCAGTTCCCTTGCTTATTTCTATTTATTTATTCGTGACCACTGCCCTCTGGAAGGCCATTTAGAGAGAGGTAAATGTAAATCCTAAGTATGCCCATGAGCATCCTCTACCTGGAAAATTGGAGAGGCATTCTCTTCCACTGAAACAGCATTTACACTGCTTACTTTGCCTGGGAAAGCCAAGGAGTACCACGCCACACAAATAGGATCCGTTCCCCTCATGGGATAAACCATTCTTCTATGTGCTTTTCAGAGTTTTTCTGGCTTAACCTAATCCCATCATCAGTCTTTCAATATGCCATTATAAATGGAGAAAAATTCTCAAGCTTTCACTTTGGTAGCTGGCTTAATTACATCATTAATATCTGTATCATAAGGCTACTTTAGGAAACTACAGAGTTCGGGTTCCAGCTCTTGAATCTTTTCCCATCCTTCCCCAACACAGATACACACCAATACTGGGCATTAGGATGGAGGGCAGGTGGGTAGCTCTTATACTTTTATGCCTGTGGAGTGACCATCATGATTACAGGACTGCCAGATGTTGCAGGTAGCCCTTCGTTCAAGAAACGTGTATAGACTGAATAGTGTGGTCACTGCAAACGCCTATTTGCAAGCAGTGGAGGATGCATTTTTATTTATTTTTCAGATGTTTTAATTGCTTTTTTTTTTTAGAGAGAGAGAGGGGAGGGGAGAAGGAAAGGGAGAAACATCGATGTGAGAGCAGAACATCGATTGCCTGCCTCCTACACACCTCCTACAGGGGATCTAACCTGCAACCCAGGCATTTGCCCTAACCAGGAATTGAGCCTGACACCTCTCAGTGCACAGGACCATGCCCAACCGAGTCACACAGGCCAGGGTACTATGCATTTTTAATGAAGGGCAAGAGGATAGAACATGTGATGCCCTAAGGAAATGTCAATTGAAGTCAATACAAATTTCTCTAAGATTTGCAGACTCTGAATCAGTGTTTTGTCTCTAAGACTTCTATCTAAACTCCTAAAAACAAAACCAACAAAATAAACCTCATCTCCATTCTAACCAAAACCAATTTGTTGTACCTTACACATTGCTGGTCATACTTTACCTGAGGACAGAGGGCTTCTAGCTGGCTTGCAGACATTCGAACAAGCTTTACACCTTCTTCATTGTTTGAAATAGAGCAGGCCAAGTTGGCAACCTAAAAGAAAGAACACATAAAAAGATCTTTGAAGATTTTTCTCTTGGACTGCAAAGAAAAACAAACACACACTTACCCTCACCCCTGACCTTTCCAGCTTATAAGGACATGTTTGGTTTTTTCTAGTTCTGTGCTGAGGAAATTACAGATTCATAACAAAGGTCACATTGTGAGCTGGTGACCGAACCTTGAAACATCCCACAGCCTGTAACTCAAAGGCTCTACACAGGCTCTAACCTGCTTACACAGTAACTTCAGACAGAGAGAGGTTCTCCTGGTGAGGGCAATAACATGAGAGAAGCTACAGCATCAAGGACATCAGAAAAGAATTGTGGATATACTCAAATAAAAAATGTACTTTGCAGCTGTTCTTGAAGTAAGGAAATAGAAATACTAAGTTGTTATTCTCATTTGACATGTGAATGGATGCTTTTCATTTGCACACAAGGTTATTTTTCAAATTAAAAAAAGTATTAAGAAAACATCAAGGCCATCCTCATCAGAAAAGGAAGAAGAAACAGGGATGATGTCCTACCATTAAGAACAAAACTGTCCTCCACCTGGATTCTCAAAAGCACTGACAGCTGGACTCTTTCTTGAACAAGGCTATTTCACTTGAACTAAAATCTTTACCTTCCCATCCACTCTCAATGACAGTGCTCATGCCAGTCTTTCCAAGTTGTGTTATAATTCCTCTGCCGTAGCTCTGGCTATGCTAAGAATGTTGCTCAGTAGTGACTGCCAGGGCTGTGATCACCTATCCTAAATGAACAGGTTTGACAATTCCATTAGTAACACGAAGACCAACTGAATACATGGTGCTGAGACACATCCTTCCCCCAGATGCAAACTGAATTATGAATGGCAGTTGAAACCAAAGGTACTTTCCAGGAACTTAAATGCCAGAGTAAACAAGGACAATGACAATAACCTTTGACTTTTTCACTTCTCTACCCAACTTAAGCACACAAAGGCACAAGAAAAATTATATACTATTATGGATGTTGTTTGCTATGTTACAGTTGGGGATTATCAGTTTTCTGTAAGACTGCTAACTACCAGAATCCTGCAATGCTAATCACAAGGAGAAATAAAAGAATGAACATGCGACCTGCATTACCACCATTTGTCCACCACCCAGAACTGAAATATCATTGCTGACATGTACACATAAGGAACTGTTTGACATAGAAATTGGGACTCAAAAGAACTGTTGACCCAGAAAGAAACTCACTACAGACTGATTCATTTGCCTCTCAGCATAACCATTATTGCTTGTCTCATTTTCGTTCTTGTAAGTGTATTTCTAGTATCACATGAGCTCACTCATCTAGGGGAAATGATGAGCATCATAGACTGATGAACAAGAACAGCATCGATCAGACTGTTGGACCTCAGAGGGAAGGTAGAGGAGGGTGGGGATAAGGGAGAGAGATCAACCAAAGGACTTGTGTGCATGCATATGAGCCTAACCATGGGTATGGACAATGGGAGTGGGAGGGGGCTTGCATGGGGAGGGGTTTGGGATGGGAATGGGGGGGGGGGGGAGGGATGAGGACAAATATGTGATACCTTAATCAATAATTAAAAAAGAATGAACATGCATTTAAAATAAAAGATAAGGAAATAGACAATTAAATCAGGTCTCTAAATGTTTAGTGGCCTTCAAAATTCACATAAAGAAGTAACAGATATACTCCCTGAAGATTACTATTCTACTTTTTGGTGTCAACTGGACCTGAGCCAAGAGACACTTGGCTCTTTATGATGACAGTTTATAGAGATGATTGTAGATTCCTATTTGTTTTTGAAATTACTATGAAATATGACCTACACTAAATTTTGTAAACTTTTAAAAAACATTACTCCTCAATTATATATTTTATGATGCTACAATGAAGGAGAAAGCTTAAATTAGACGAGTTCATGAATCTACAACTTCTACTGTCATAAGAAAGAATTTTGAAAAACAAATGTAAAATGTGAGGGTGACACTAACTACCGTGTTTCCCCGAAAATAAGACATCCTCCGAAAATAAGACCTAGTGCACGGAAAGATAAGACATCCCCTGAAAATAAGACCTAGCGCAACTTTGGGAGAAAAAATTAATATAAGACACTGTCTTATTTTCGGGGAAACAGGGTAGCAGTTTGGAACTAACAGAGGCCCTGGGAGGTGAGCGTACCAATGCCTAGCACCTGTCCCACGCCCCCATTGAAGAGCCAGCCACATGCTAGCTGCAGGAAGGCCTGCCACTGCGTTTCTGCCTTCCATGCTCTAGTCTCTACTTCCAATCTATGTCCTCCCTATTGTATGAATCTGACAAAACTAGAAAAACATTTAAATTAAGAAGAAAAAGATTATATAAAGTGTTTTCTCCTATAGATCAGACACAGGAGTGTGTGTGGCTGAGGGTGAAAAGCTGACTTCTGTAAAGCATCTTTCCTGATAAAAATCCTAACAAAACAAAGGTTATGGGAGACTTGCTCTTTATTTTAAAACATTGTTTAAAAACATTTCTAATGTACTGCTGAAGCAGTAATGTTCAGCAAGAGCACACTGTCTGTTTCAGGAAGCCACCCTGCCTAACCTGGGAGGCGGCAGCAGCGCCTGTCACTGAGTCTTCTCCAGATGGATGCTCAATTCTCTCCCCAGGGACAGGCTACTCACTTCTAACAATGACAAACGTGCAAATGCAGTATCTCAACCATGGCTCTCTGAGAGGCTAACCTCATGTACTGGTGCGAGGCATCAGGGAAAGCTGAGGCTGAGGGGAGGGGCTTCCTAAAAGCCTCCGTCTGGGGCTCTAGGAATCTGGGATGGCAGCTAATACTGAGACAGTGTGAATTAAAAACACTCAGAGCAGCTAACTCCCAGGGAACCCGGCAGAGCAAGAACTTAGTAATGAGCAGTATCTCTACATTTGTTCTGGGAATAAATTATTATATCTTTGCTATCACAGTAACTTGAGGTATTAACAGTTTAAATGTCTTTGATTCCTGCTAATCCAAGAGGTAGACTGAGACGGACCCAATGACTTCTAGCTTTGAAATCATGAAGCCTCTTTCCCCCTCCCTCAATTGATTTTATAGAGAGAGGAAGGAAGAGCGAAAAGGGAAGGGGGATGGGGGGAAGAGAGCAACATTGATTTGTTGTTCTACTTATTTATGCATTCATTGGTTGTTTTTTGTATGTGCCTTGTCCGGGGATTGAACCCCAACCTTGACATAAATGAGATGACGCTTTAATCACTGAGCTTCGGGGCCAGGGCACAAAGGCCTCTTTTGCACTGTTTCTGCCTGGATCTGGTTAAAGAGCAAGACATTTCAGAAAACTTGCAACTCACTGATTAAAAAAACAGTCCTGGCCGAAACCGGTTTGGCTCAGCGATAGAGCGTCAGTCTGCGGACTAAAAGGTCCCGGGTTCGATTCCGGTCAAGGGCATGTGCACTGGTTACAGGCACATCCCGGTTGGGGGTGTGCAAGAGGCAGCTGGTCGATGTTTCTCTCTCATCGACGTTTCTAGCTCTCTATCCCTCTCTCCTACTTTCTGTAAAAAAATCAATAAAATATATTAAGAAAAACAAAACAAAAAACAGTCCTGGGTTTTTGCTGGTTTCAGGAGTAGCCCAGTAATAACCTGTGCTGTGAAGGAGAGTGTCACAGCCAGGCTATGTCAGATCAACAAATATGACAATTTGTACAGGACAGAAAAACAACTCAGACATTTAGAAAAGCTCTACCTTTACTCCACACTTGATTTTTACTTAAATAAAATGTATGAAACGAAGTAGTAGTAAAATGTCCCATATTATGACTATTTCCCTCTATTGTACACATACTGATGACTTTAAATAAAGTGCAGATTTGTTCAAGTCACATACAGTTCTTCCCACTGCCCTCAGTAACTGCTCATGGCTTTACATTCAGATGAAATGTGACACTGCCCTTTACTCTGGAACCTCTGCAGGAAGAAAAAGATTTTTTTTGTTCTTGGTGATAAATTAATTACCTACTCTAACATCTCATCCATTCTGTGGCATAAAACAAGTGGAAAAGTGTGGAAAAGGAAGCTTTAAAGTCTAAGTAGTAACATCACGACCTAAGAGGCCATAAGCTCAAAACCTGCATGACTTGCCATTGGCTGTGGGTCAAGCTATCACCTTAGTTTTTGTCTTAAAAATGATTGAGTCTGAACTCTCAAAAAATCCAAAATAATAATAACTCAACTTTTCCATGTCTGTCATATATCTGTGAACTCCCAACTGCATGTCATATAAATTTCAAAACCACTCAAGAAATTTCTAGCAATTACTCCCCAACCCACAGGGAACATGATGATGGAACAGAGGTCAAACCTAAATATTCCCAATTTCCAGTAAAGGTAGCCAACAAGAGAAACAAGGTATGTTACAAAAAAATGAAGTATGCATGGGTGATAGAAAAGTTCCACACTGGATTGTGGTGAAGGTTTTATTGTTCTGTAAATGTAGCAAAAAATAAATAAATAAATAAATAAATAAATCACTGAATTGTATACTTAAAATGGGTAAAATTTGTTACATAAATTTTATCTCAATAATGTTGTTTTTGTTTTTATTTTTTAATGCAGGTCTAAGCAGATAAGTGATTAAGGTAAACTGTCAGAGGCTAGAAATGAGAAAGCAGAAATTCACAGAGGTAAGCAAGCACTGAAAACTGTTCACTTGGAGTAGGGTAGGTAGGTGGAAATAGGGAACCAATTATTCTGTGATCAGAACTTTTTTTGTTTATTTTTTTAAAATATATTTTTATTGATTTCAGAGTGGAAGGGAGAGGAAGAGAGAGGTAGAAACATCCATGATGAGAGAGAATCATTAATTGGTTGCCTCCTGCATATCCCCCACAGGGGTGTAAGTATAGAAATTACATTATTTACTTGGCCCAAAAAACTTTTAGGCTTAGGAGGTCACTTGTTAGTAGTATCCCTAAACAACTGGCAGAAGCAAATATAAATGGA